AAGCAAGTTTAAAAAGCTACAAAAGAGCTTGGATTATTTTGCTTTGGTGTTTTGTTTTGTTTTTGCATCTATGTAATCGTTAAGAGTAGGCATCAATGTTAGTAGAACAATTCACTCAATACAATCAGCTCTCTTTTACTGTATTTATAAATGACTTGGCCATGCAGCAAAAAGTAAGCCCTTTGCCAGAGTCATCCAGCAGTTATGTAATATAGTTAAGAATGTACGACAGGGGTGTCAAACTCAATTTCATTGAGAGCCGCATCAGCATTGCGGTTGCCCTCGGGGAGCCAGGTGGGTGTGGCCTACTGGGTGGGTGTGGATGGAGTGGATGTGGCCTACTGGGTGGGCGTGGCCAGCTCTACATCACTTGTGTCAAGGGTGCCTGTGGGGGCCTGGGCAGGAGTGGGACAGATCTGAGGGTCTCTGGCAGAAAGGGGTGGGACCGGGACAAGCGCCAAGGCATGGTCCATTTCTTCATTCCTCACAAAGGGTGACACCTCTCCAGCATGCACCCAGGGGGCGGGGTCGACACAGCAGGAGCTGGTTCCTCGCTGTTTCTAGACGGCCTTGTGGAGCTAAGACTGAATGCGTTTCAGCATACATGGCCACCACAAAATTGTACATTGACTCCTGGCCGGCCTGGGCCAGGGCCAAGGCAGTGGGGCCCGTTCCCTCACTGTTTCCAGGATGGCTTTGCGGGCCACATGAAATCACTTTGCGGGTCACATCCGGCCCCCGGGCCTTGTGTTTGACATATCTGATGTAGGATATGGATAAAGAAATTGTAACTATTAAAATCAGCACCAGAGTTTTCCTCTCTTCCACAGCTTATAATAGGAACAAAATGAGGGAATGCCATATATATATTGTCCTGCATTTAATGGGAATAAAGGAAATAAGATAAGAATTTTTCAGCAGTGCTAATGACTGAGCTCTAGGGCTGGTCAAGTAATTCGTACAGAGATTACATTATTTTGCTGCTGTCAATGGTAATTTTGGCTGATCCAAGAAACTGGCCAACTGGAATCCTTTGTGCTCTTCTATTGTGTCTCAGATTAGATCTTAAACCCAAATGTGTGTTTTGGTAGTAATTATGAACCAAGAGAATCTCTGGCTCTGTTTGACACAATCTTTAATCCAAAGATTATCAATGCAGATTTGTTTTGTAAATAAGAGCATAGCGTGTTCTTTTATTTTTTTTTAAATTAAAGGCTGGAAAATATACAGCCTTGCCCTAAGGATTATGCTACCTTTAACATTGTGAGGTACTCTAATTAGTTATCCACAATGAAAGTAATACTTCCAGTCTTCTAGGGTGGGGAAGGAATTAAAGAAATTAGGGATACCTTGTTCTTCTATAGATATAGGCATATACAATACACTCTTATCTTGCAGTTTCAGGTTCTTACCCAGCCTACATCATTGACATTCAGCACTGATATGCTATGTGGGATGGATCAGTTGTTTAACATTAGCAAAATTTGCCCAGTAGCAATTTAAAGTTATGTGAGACATTACATGTCTGTAAGATGCATCTACATGCACTACACTACACATGAAATGTCAAACTAGCATTATTTCCCTTTTGAGAAATACAAGGTAGAATTTGAGCTAACAGAAATAATAATAATAATAATAATAATAATAATAATAATAATAATAATAATAATAATAATAATAGGCGTCTTGGGTGCAATCCCAAAACAACTGGAGCACCACTTGAACACCATTGGCATTGACAAATTTGCCATTAGTCAATTGCAAAAGGCGGCCTTACTAGGAACTGCTTCCATCCTGCAACGATACCTGTAATACCATAAAACATCCACATCTGCCTATCCCAGGTCCTGGGTAAGGACTCGATAGGTAGACAAAATGCCAAATCCAGTCTGAACATCTGGCTGACTGTGTGATGATCCATAATAATAATAATAATAATAATAATAATAATAATAAAGTTGGAAGGGACCTTGGAGGTCATCGAGTCCAACCCCCTGTTCAGGCAGGAACCCTACACCATTTCAGACAAATGGCTGTCCTGTCTCTTCTTAAAAACTTCCAGTATTGGAGCATTCACCACTTCTGGAGGTACTTGCAACACCTACTGCACTGCCTTCCTGCTGCTTCAGTGCTAATTTAGAGTCCATCACCTATACTAGCTCCTTGTGCTTTACAAGATAGTATTAACAAAAACAGGCACATTTGTAGAGTCATTTCTGATATGATCCTCTGACATAAAAGGAAATCATGATCTACAAATCAAAAATGTATTGTAACCTGAGCATTAAAATATAGAGGTAGACTCAGATGTGTGTTAGAATGAATCTTTTTTAGATAGGTAGGTAGGTAGGTAGGTAGGCAGGCAGGCAGGCAGGCAGGCAGACAGACAGACAGACAGACAGACAGACAGACAGACAGACAGACAGATAGATAGATAGATAGATAGATAAACCTTTATTGTCATTTTTCCTGTGGGCACAATGGCACACATTAAAAATGAAATGTAGTTGCTTCCTTTCAAAGTGTACACATACATAACACATTTAAAACATACTATATACAACATATGTATAGACTTACACCCTTACATATAAGTAATATATACATATTATTCACTGTCCATCTTGAATACATAACTAACCACTCTAACCAGGGCTTCAGGAGCAAGGTTAAAGGAAGGAAAATATCTAGTTAAGATTTTTGTCTATAAATAAAATTCGGAGACTACAGTTGGTCCAGAATGCAGCCGCGCGAGTGATAGTGGGTGTTCCTCGGTACACCCATGTTACACCTATCCTCTGTGAACTGCACTGGTTGCCTATTGGTCTCTGGGTCCAATTCAAGGTGTTGGTTATTACCTTTAAAGCCCTATATGGCTCAGGGCCAGGCTATTTGCGAGACCGCCTTCTACCTCATAGTTCCCTTCGTCTGGTTAGATCCCACAGGCTGGGCCTCCTTCAGGTCCTGTCGGCCAAGCAGTGCCATTTGGCGGGGCCGCGGAGTGCTTTTTCTGTGATGGCGCCCACGTCTTGGAACCAGCTCCCCCCGGAGATTAGGACCGCTCCCACCCTGTTGGTTTTCTGAAAGCTGCTTAAGACCTGGCTTTTCCGGCAGGCCTGGGGTTTATAAAATCTGACCCCTGGATGACTGTTATTGTATTGTCTGTTTTGTCATGTTATATGGTGCTTTTATTGTTAGCCGCCCAGAGTCCTGCGGGAGTGGGGCGGCTTATAAATTTTAAAAATGAAAATGAAAAATGAAATAAAAATATAAGGGCGGTTTAAGTGAGATTTTGGCAGACAGTGTGAAGAGACCTAGGCCTTCTGAGATGTTGTTATCAATTTATAATCTCCAGGGAACAAGCTGGCACTAAAACATCTTCTTATAATAGTATTTAGTTTATTAAAAATAAAGAACAGCAAAGAAAAATATGTGTGGGTATTGGGTTTAAAGGAAATGATTAAGATTCAAAGAGCAAGTGTAAACAAAAGAACAATGACTCAGCTCATCCAGAATGGGGAATGACTCTCAGGGAATCAGGCAAAGGCCTTAAGCATATTTGAAATGAAATGAAATAATAGTTTCACTCAAGTACTCACTACACCTAGACATCTGTGTGGCTTCAAATCCTTCTGGCATCTTGGAGGATTATATTCCACAACCCTAAAATGGATTTAAAATTGTTTCTTTTTCTCCTAATGAGTTGCTTCCTGAGAAGATTAAAAAAAATAAAATCATCCAGCAAACTTTTAGATGCCAGCTATTTAACCTCAAGGGAGTGATGAGTTGTGTTTGCTTTGGGATTTAACCAACTGTCCCTCCTGAGTTTCATTACTGGAGGATGAGTTGACTGAAAGGCCATTATTTGTCCATTTTGATCTAACGGAGTCCAATGAACCCTCTAGCAAAGTTAATTATAGAATCATAATTACAAAATAATACCATTCATTTTTGGTTCTTTCTGAAAGACCTTTTTTAGTTTTTTCTTTCTTTATAACTTCCTGTGTTGTTTATTTTTCCATTCTTTTTTGTATTAAACTAATACTGCAAAACAAATAAAGCAGTAGCATTCATTTAAACTGTGGAATAGGCAATTACTTTTCTTTCTCAATTTTTGAGACAGAAAAGTATATGTTTTGAGCATCATGTAAAACTAATGCCTGGGCTAATCTATATTCACAAAGAGGATAAAAAAAGTATTACCGATGAGTATAACTTTGTTACGTTTGCTGTGCCAGCTTTTTTTTTTTCAATACAACAATATGTCAGATTCTAGCAATACTTGATTAGTTTTTCATGTGAATTGTTTCACTTATAGATAAAGAAAACAGACATACTATCTTCCTGGCCATTTTGCTATTCATCTCACATTGGATCCCTTATTGAAAACAAACGTGACATCATCTACACACAAGTCATGGTCACATTTAAAACTGACACCTTTAATCATTATCAAATGACAGATGACTCACTGCCATATTTCAAGGCCAAAATATACATCTGATATCTCTTTCAATCTGAAGATGTCAATGTAAGGACAATTAACCATTGGAATAGCTTGCCCCCAGAAAATGTGGGCGCTCCATCACTGGAGATTTTTAAAAAGAGGCTAGACAGTGTCTGAGATGGTATAGGTTCTCCTGCTTGAGCAGGGGCTGGACTAGAAGACCTCCAAGGTCGCTTCCAGCTCTATTCTATTCTAATTTCCCGCTGTCATTGTATTCTGGCCAGTTCCCTTACCATTAAAGAAAAATTCCACAGATTAATTTTACTAAGTTCCATTTCAACTGTAACAAAATGAAAATCTGCACAAATGACTTCCATTATGCCTTTATTTTCTTACTGCCATAATGGCAACTTGCCCCTTAAAATCAATTCATAAAATCCTGATCATTTATTATATATATTTTTCTAGACCATTGGAAATATACTGTAATGTTTAAGAACTAGCACGAGGAGGCATTGAAGTACATTAAAATATGCCCAACCCTTCTTACCTCTACCAGATGAGGTGTTGGGTTGAATCCACACATGTTGCAGACCTGCTGCTTACAGGATGTGCAGGTATTATGATTGGAAGGCTCTCCAGAGCCCACGTTTATCTCCGCTTTGCAGAGGGGGCATAAAACCCTTTCTTTCGGCACTTCCTTTGGCTTAGTTACTTGTTCTGCTTTCGCTTGCTTTGCAGCTGGGACAGTTCCAGGCTTACTCTGCATTCCAGGACCAGTGCTTGGCCTTTTAGGACCAGCTTCTTTACTAGCATCACTGAAGACGATTTTTGGAGGCACTTTGCCAGGAGACTGTTGACTTGATGGAGTGGCCTCTGGCTGGACAGACATGAGTGTGCTTGCCTGGGTCAGGAGGGAAGCTCCAAATCCAAAAAGCTTCCCGGTGAGGCCCTCTTGGGTTTGTTCTTGAGTCCCCCCAGTACTGGCAGGAGGGACTGGAGTCTTAGCTGGGGAGTCTCCTACAATCTTTCTCTGATCAATGGATGAAGGCTTTGCTTGTTGATGCTGAGGGGAAGACTTCATCACTTCCTGAGGAGCAGCAGGTTTTGGCTGGAATTGGCTGGGTACTTCTCTCTGTGGTGAGACTGGGGGATGTTTGGGGGAATGGGGTTGCATGGTTGCAGCACTTGGCCTGGGCCCTGGCTGCATAGTTCCGGGTTGTTTCTCTGGTCCTGTTACTGCTTGGGGCTGTGGTTGTGGCTGTTTGGCAGGGGAATGGGAAGGAGAAAGGGAAGGAGAATGTAATTGCTGCTGACTTTTGGAGCGGGGTGCTGTAGTCATGTCCATTCCCAAAGCTCTCTGCATCTGGCAATTTAAACATAGCCATTCTTTAACCTAGAAGACAATAATAAAACAGAATTAACCCATCAGCAGCAAATGCCAGATTTAGTTATTAAACTGCAGATTCTGATGTGCCTGATATGTCTACCACTCATTAAACTAAATAAAGCATATTTGTATCTCTTCATGGGTCTCTTGTTGCAGGTCATTTGTCCTTTTGGCAGCTGTTATCTGAAGGCTGCTATTGTTTCCTCTAATGTATCGAGCATGTGTATTTCTATGAGCTGGTTCTTATTTCTGATGGTTTCCATCTGACCATCTCAGGAACACAGCCTGTCTCTCTGATCATCTTCCAAGGTGCTGTGACACCAGCCATAAAGTAGTCTCAATGGAGGCTTCACTTCAACAGCAACTACAAGAATGAATCAAGTCCATGTATTGTGGCCCATTCAGCTTGCTTATCTTACCTGGAAAGATACTTTGGCAAAGGCAGAACTATACCAGTAGCAATGTACAAAAATCACATTATTTGGGCACAGTACTATCACTTTCTGCCCTTAGTTTCTTAAAACTACAAAAGATTGTAAGCCCAGCAATCTTTCTAAGGTAAACAGATGTGGTATTTTTTCAATTGGTTGTGCACTTGGAATAGAAACAAGGTACATCTTTACTCAGTAAAGGTAAACTCCCTAAATACATAAAAAAAACTGTGGCATATTTTGGCTAAACAGTAATAAATAAATTATCCCAACCCCTCCCATGAGTAATATACTAATGACATAGCAATATCTGAGGCTGCTTAGGAGTCACAAATCTGTTGATTATTGGAATCCCCAAGATAAAATGTGGCTATATAAGGTTAATACGCAACATGGTTAAATAATTGCAATTATTTATAAACTGGCGACTTTCTTTTCCCTCAGCAAGCACTTGTAGTCTTAAAAATCTGCATGATAATAAGATTTGCAAAATGGCAAAAAAACAACAACCCAACAACTGAGAACATTACAGTTAACAGAGACAGTTGGAAAAGTGGCAAAAGGTTCACATCCTCTCCATGTTTAAAAACATACCAGTTCTAAAAACCCATCCTTACCCTTGTATCCTTCTACTTTCTCTGATCTAATTCTAATAGTTTCTCAGCCCATTCAGGCCTTCTTTCTATCACAGTTGGAGTATGCTCACCCCATAGCTCAGTTCCACTTCACTTTTAAAAGCTAAAGGGGATACACAAAATGACTCATAAACACAGGTGTCGGATAGCACTATCTATACAATCACACTCAAACTGCATTTGAATATTGTCTTTACTGTTAAGAATATGCACTTGTTTGGAAAGCAGATCTAATTCATACTATTAAATTCTTATGTCTATTTGATATTTTGCAACCTTCAAAAGGGCAAAATGGTGCATCGTAGAACAATATTGTTTGAATCAACATACCTCAAATAGACTAATTTACAGAATGCATCCAAAATATGGGATCCATACTTTCACTCCTGTGGGAGTGAAATTTGGCACAATTGTGGCCACTTCAGAGCCACCATGCCATCCAACTACACCTACACTTCTCAGAAACCTGAAGGTTGCATGGCACAAGGGAAGATGGCAGGAGCATATCCCCATCCTCTTTAGCACCTGACTTGGCCTCTGTGCCCAATCAATTGGTGGCAAGGCCCAATAGGTGAGCAGCCATTGGCTGTTTTGGAACCAAGGCTGAAACTGGAAATCTCTTCATGGCATTGGCCCATGAGGGAAGAATGAGGGAATGATTCAAATGCCTGCTGGCAAAGTAGACCTGACTGGAGGATGCTAACAGTCAATGAGTATGCTCTCTTCCTCCTGGAGGAAGGGGACCCTTGGGAATATGCTGGAACTGGGAGAAGGAAGAGAGTTTTCCTCAGTTTCATGAACCCCTTTGCTCACCCTCCACACAACAAAATGGCAGGCAGTTCCACAGATCAGCTGAGTGGGAGGAGGAGAAATTAAAAGAGGAGGCTTCAATGGAGCTCTCATGAGGGTTGTGAGGGGAGGGGGGAAAGCACAAACCTATATTATATGTGGAAAGAGAAAGTATGAGGGAAAATGTGATGAGCTAAGGTTGGCTGGGTGATGCTGCAGTCTTATTCCTCCCTGGAAAAAGGAAGTCCTTGGGGACACACCAGAATGTCCTTAATAGAGAGATACAGCTTTTCTTGTGGTCCATTGCTCCTTTTGTTCCCCCTCGCTTCAGCAAAGTGGCAAGTAGTTCCATGAGTCAGTCAAACAGGAAGAAGAACAAGCTTCACTGGGGCTCTCCTGAGGGTTGTGAGGGAAGGAGAAATGGTGCAAGCCTATATTATATGGGGAAAGAATGACCTAACATGTTGTCTAGTTATCTATAAGGCCGATCAGAATCCATAGACAAGAAAGTGACACACAGCCTCCTCACCAGATTTTCCCACTCCCTACTGTTTCCCTTTTTTTTAACAATGATGATCCCATTGATAAATACAAAATCATATAAACAAAATGATTCAACAAGGAGGTCACAGTCTAATTCCAGAGTTATCCATCAAGTTAAGATACCAGGTGACCGTGTTCAGAAAGATCACTGCCTGAGAATTACAGCCAGTCAGAAAATGTTATGTTTGTTCTATGGCTTTAGTATGAGAAAAAATATTATTTCTATGAACAGTTAGACACCTGTGAGCTAATTTGTCTTCATTTGGTGAATAGTCAATTGTTTCTTTTATCCTATTAGAATAATTACAATAAATCAAGAAATATAAATAAAAACAAAAGACATGCTAATTATTTCTGTCAAGACCACCTTTGCCTTGATAGAGGCAAAACCAAACATTCCCTATGATTTGCATTGTACAGTCACACATATGTGCAACAGTCTCTGAAACAGCATCTTATCTGAGAGGCTTTTCATCTTACTGACCTAGTAAGCTAGTAATTGTTTTATCTAGCAAAAAAGCTGCAAATACTGTTCTAAGGTATCAGCACAAAGGAAGATGGAACTAGATGTTCCAGCTAAAAGTATATCAAGCACTAGATTGCAATCCCCCATCCCTCAATCTAGCTTTACCTCGTAAACATGCAGTTTGTCTGCATTTGAAAAGACAGATGGAGGAGGGGAAATTGGTGCAGAAAAAGGTGTGGGAAAAGGATAAACACCCACATCCCACCTGCTCTTTCTTTGAGCACAAGTTTTTCACAAACATATTTTTTTTAAACAAGGAGGACACTGAAATTTATTATGTTGCCCTTCCTACTTCAGACGAGTCCTATTTTTGCATTGGTATGTTCATATTTTGAGATTATGTGTCTTTTATGACCAGTCCACTCCTATGAATGTTTATTGAAACAAAGGGCCATTGAAATCAGTAGGTTTGCTTCAAAAATAAGGTTACAAGATTATCGGCAAAAGGAAAATGTGCCCTCTTTTTTCTTCATAAGGTCTCCATTTGGCAGTCATAGCCTTACAATGAAATAGTGTCAGGCATTTTTAATATTTCTTTCTAAGCAGTTTTTTTCCCTCAGTGCAGCACTTTGCTAATAAATGCTAATTGCAAGGTAACAAGCTCTGCTCTGTAACCTTAATGAGTTGATTAAGATCTTCTCTCTGCTGCCTGAAACTGACCAGACCTTAATCAGGTACATACTGAAGGCTTTTGCCTCCTACTTTTGCACATTCCTGTGACTGAAAAACAGACTTTCTGATGAGCTATAGTTTCTAACAACTTTACTGCAGAGGTCATCTAAAATTTAAACAAATTTTGAATTATAATCAAGGCAATTTATTTAAGCAATTACAAGTATTTTTGTATTATTTAGCACAAAAAGGAGACTGCTTGATAAACAAACTACTATTTTTACTCTATTGACAAAATATCATTCTTACTAACCTTTAATTGGTTTTCTGCATATAGATGGGTTCTTCACTGACATGGGCTATTCTTTGAAGTAAAATTAATCACAACATATTCCCAGTAATTTTGAAGATCTAGTTTCTTGCTAGAGCATGTTTATTCTCCCCCCCATATCAAGGAAGGAAGGGAGGGAGAAAGAGACATCTATGTAGATAGTTCCCCTTCCTTATAGAAACTGCTCCAAATTTTAGGATAGGCCTTTCAATTAAGTTGTCATTTATACCAACTCTTTGAGTTCATTAAGAAATAGTCCTATGTGATTTCATGCCTCACACTTTTCCTGTTTAGCTGTCCCTTGTTCATAGCTCTGGGAAAAGACTAAAAGGTCTGAGCATCTACATTTGTGTATTGATATTTCTCTCTTTGCAAGTAGGAAATGTGAGAATATTGTTCCACAGTTCAGTCTCTGAAACCTGCACAAAGGCATTTTAGCTATGTTTGCTTTGGAAACCTCTTTTATTTTACTATCTTGACAAACAAAACACAATCATCTTGAAAGAATATAAGTCATCTTAGTCAAGACAACAATGTTGAGGTTGATTTTTCAGTATTTTGGGAATGAGCCAAGGGATAGACACCTGAATGAGCAAGAGCCTTTGGGACTCTAAAAATCATTTTCTGTCTCAAAATTCAAATAACAACTTGGGAGGAAAGAAGTTGGCCTGAAGGCAACAAGAATCACTGGTGCTCAAAATTGTTTTCATTCACTGGTCCCTTAGGTCTGGAGCAAAACAAGCCTATAAAGACATTGGATTTTTGTACATGATGGAAGGAGGGAGAACTTAGCTGAAGCATGTAGCAGTAATGTCATTCACCATAAATGAAAAGAACAAACCCTGTGAAAATCTTACACAGAATAATGAAGTTGACCATGCTTCTATAAATCCTACTACTTGTATGCAATACAAAATTGGGACATCCTTTTATAATCAGTTTTGTTGTTTTGTTGTTTCTAAACATGCTTGCCAAAAGGTAATGCTGAAGATAGTTTTGAAGCTCCTCATAAGAAATTATGTTACATGTAAGGATCTGAATATTCGGCCTACACCTGTGTATCATGCCTCACTTCACTAATCTGTGTTAAACTGAGATCCTAACTGACCTCAGTGTAATGAGAACTGTATATCTTGCTA